AGGGAGGGAATGAGTGAGGGAGGGAGGGAATGAGTGAGGGAGGGAGGGAATGAGTGAGGGAGGGAGGGAATGAGGGAGGGAGGGAGGGAATGAGTGAGGGAGGGAGGGAATGAGTGAGGGAGGGAGGGAATGAGTGAGGGAGGGAGGGAATGAGTGAGGGAGGGAATGAATGAGGGAAGGAATGAATGAGGGAGGGAGGGAATGAGGGAGGGAGGGAATGAATGAGTGAGGGAGGGAATGAGTAAGGGAGAGAAGGAACGAATGAACGAGGGAGGAAATGAGTGAGGGAGGGAATGAGTGAGGGAGGGAATGAATGAGTGAGGGAGGGAATGAATGAGTGAGGGAGGGAATGAGGGAGGGAGGGAATGAATGAGTGAGGGAGGGAATGAGTAAGGGAGAGAAGGAACGAATGAACGAGGGAGGAAATGAGGGAGGGAGGGAATGAGTGAGGGAGGGAATGAGTGAGGGAGGGAATGAGTGAGGGAGGGAATGAGGGAGGGAGGGAATGAATGAGGGAGGGAATGAGTAAGGGAGAGAAGGAACAAATGAATGAGGGAGGAAATGAGTGAGGGAGGGAAGGAATGAATGAGTGATGGAGGGAATGAGGGAGGGTGGGAATTAATGAAGGAGGGAATGAGTGAGGGAGAGAAGGAATGAATGAAGCAGTAAGGGAGGGAATGAGTGCGAAAGGGAATGAGGGCTGGAATGAATGAGGGCAGGAATGAATGAGGGTGGGAATGAGTGAGGGAGGGAAGGAATGATTGAGTGATGGAGGGATTGAATGAATGAGTCAGGCAGGGAATGAGGGAGAGAGGGAATGAGTGAGTGGGGGAGGGAATTAATGAATGAGGGAGGGAATGAATGAATGTGGTCAGTCCCCGCGGTCCCCAAGCACCCGGGCCCCGTTGCCTTTGGGGGGGGCCCGGCGTTGGGGGAATTGGGGGGCGGGGGGACCGGGAGAGCCCCAGGGCTAGCACGACCGCGCGTTGGCGAACGGAGTATCCCGCGCGCTCGCGGGGCTGGGGGCCTCTCGACCCGTCTCGGGAGTTGCGTGGGCGGGGGGTGGGGGGCTGGTGCCCGGAAGCGCCCCTCCCCCAAGGGCTCGCCCCGCCCCCGCCGCGCGTAGTCTCTCCACGCCCCGCCCCCGCCCAGGGCCCGCCCCCGGATTAGGGAGCATCCACACTTCTCCTCCCGTCGGTCATGCTCGCATTCGGCCTTTTGTACGGGGTCGGCTCATTGGGCAGATGAGAAGGTCTCTCCGCCCACCGCCCGGAAATGGCCAATTGCAAGAGGTTTCACAGGGCGCTGAACTCGCGGGAGCGTCACCGTCCTGCGACGCTTCTGGGGATCCTTAGGCCTCAGTGGTCTTTGCCCCCCGGCCCCAGGCTCTGACCCCAAGGAAACTTCGGAGACCTGTGCCTGGAGAGGTGACCGCCGGGTATCCGGGGAGCTTTTGGAGATCTCGGCCTCCTTTATCCCCCGCTGCTCGCCGGCGTGTCCTCGGGTGGAGGCGGGCACCCCGAAGGGGAGTTTACAGACGCTCCCTCACATCGGGGACGCGGCTCCTTTAAGGACGTAGGTGTCCAGGGCGCCGCCTGACTGAAAAGTCACCCCCGGGCCGGGCTCCTGGGGCGGACCCGGGGCGCGGGCGCGCGGCGGCGGGGCACGGGCAGCGGGGGGCGCGC